ATCTTTTATACAGTCTATGGATGAACCTGAAAAGAGAAGAGATGTCCTAAAATGGCTGTAGCACAGATCAAAACCCCCTTTGAGCTGGGCCACAGCATGAACTTTCCTTTGGCGCCACCCTCAGGACAGACTAACTGTTGTATTTTTTTTCCCCACTGATGGCGAGGATCTAATTAGGTATTATTTAATCTATATAACAGTTTTCAAAATTTTGATCTTCTCACAAAATTTGTCCCCAAGGCCAACCAACACACACTCACACACCCGCCGCACGTCTTTGACCTTTTGAACGTCTCCTACAGTTCAGTGAAGCAGAAGCAGAGCTGCAGCTGAATGTGTGCAGAGGTCCTGTAGAGGTTGATGGAGTATGTAACGTTATTAATGGGAGCTGACAGCTGTGACAGGCTGGATTAATGTATTTACAAGGTTGCTTCACTGCTGACATTAACTCATCTGACTTACGCAACACATTTAGATCCTTCTTCCATTGATTCACAGTTTGTGCGGTCTACACAATGTTATTTCCTTGCAGTAAAAACTACAATTCAGTGTGAAAACTAGTCTGCTTCTCTCACTCTCAGAGGAGTTTGTATTATGGAGGGGGAGTTCTTACCTCCAAAACAGGACCCGGAAATATGGCCTGTCACATTTTTATAACTGAAAAAAATGAATCCTGCCAGGTAGGAACTGAAGCTGTCAGCATTTCTAATGTGCAGCCTGATACAAATGGATGACTGGAACCTAAAATACAACCACACTTTATATAAGTAGATGATGTTTGTGACAATTTCAGCAAATTTGAAGGGATCTTTCAAGCAAGCTCAGCCAAGTCTGCCATCATCCGTGCAAACCTACATGTTATAAAGGTTTTCTTTTTTGTCACAGACAGGTTAACTTATGAAAGTAGATCGATTTTTAAACACAAACATGTTGGTCATATATTTAAATTCACTGATACACGACAGATTGAGTTTCCTCTGGGGTCAGGCTACATGTAGCCGGAGGCAAATGTGAGGCTGCTATATTGTTGATATGTCTGCAATTATTTAGAATTTGCTGTGAGGTAATTTGGGGCTGCACAGTGGCTCAGTGTTCAGCACCGTCGCCTCGCAGTTAGAAGATCCCAGTTAGGACGCCTGGGATCTTTCTGTGTAGCATGTTCTCCTCGTGCAGTGTGGGTTCTCTTCCTCCCACAGTCCAAAAACAACTGAGGTTAATTGGTGATTCTAAATTGTCTGTAGGTGTGAATGTGAGTAGACTGGCGACTATTGCAGGGCTACATAGTTGTCATTACTGCTGCCTTTATGCCTCACTGATTTTCATGTTTTGTTTTTGTTTTTGTTGCAGCCCAGCGACACCGATGTAAGTAAACACTGAACTACTGTTTCATTCATAATCTTATTTTTCTGTATTTTTCATAACAGTGGGTTTGACGTATGCCTCTCCCTCCACCCTCTTTCTCTTCCTTTCAGTGCTCAAACATTGAAGGTGTGTGTCCTCTCAGCTGTGAGAGCATTGTAAGTACTCAGCCTGCTGTCTGCTACTTTGTACCAATCATCAGCCCATCGTGTGGAAAAAGCCTGATTTCTTTCTACTGCTCCCTGTTCAGGATCTGAGCTGTTACCTGGTCGACAATAACGGCTTCATTGTGCTGTCTAAAGAGAGGAATGAGGTAAGATGCCTCACCTGACCTGACCTCACCTCCCCACCTCACCACTGTGGCTTTAAAAACTGCTTCACCACCTCACATGATCCAAGAATCTTGCGGACTGATCATCATTGCTAAAGTTAAAGGGACATATGCTATTTATAATATTCTCTCATTGAAACAATTTATAATGTCAGACATCTGTCTTATACACACACGGTGGCAACGAATGTAAAGGAGCAGCACCACACTTTTTAAAAGCATGTGGTCAAGTATAGGTCTTATTGCCATCGTGAAAGTTTTTGCTCAGCGACCCACAGACTTATCAAATTTAACTTGTATACTGATGTCGCCTGCCCTCAAAGCCATCAGGGGGTTAGCACCCCCTGATGGCTTTCAGGCGACATAACTACTGAGGTTCAGAGCAGCAGAATAGCACGCACCCAGAATGTACGAACCTGTGAGCCTGAGCTCAGGGCAAAGAAACCCTGCAAGTTAGAGATACGAATCTCTCACAGCAGAAATGCAGCAAAAGTCATGTGTAAAAAGACAGCCGATTATGACTTGTAACTGGTGACTTGTCTGTATTTCCATCACTTGTAGCCAAATACTTAGACTTTTCATCTATTAATTTCTTTTTACGCGTTTACAGATGTTTTTACACATTGACAAGTTTCACTGCAGACACACAGATTGAGATGCAGACACACAACTCTCCATACACATTTACAAATAGTTTTGCTACAATAACACCGCCATGTGTGAACATCTCCTTTGGTCACTAAAGTATTAAGCAGTAAACCAGACACTACAGCTAATCTACAATACTTGAAATGTGTATTATTTAGGTATATGGTGTCGGCTCTGATCAACAGATACAAAATATTTAATGAATTGTTTCAGATCTGGAACATAAAAACTAGTTTGAATCTGTTCAGAGCACTGATGCTTAACTTATCAGCACAAAAACACTGATTATTGTTCGGAACTTAGATTATTAACATTGTTGTGGAGTATTGTTATTAACTTTATTGACAGTTGCCACAAACAATCATTAGGACCTGCTCTGCTGGTATGAATCTGATTTCGAAGTCCTCCATTTAAAAGAAGTCATGTTCACTTTGAGAACAATACGACTGGCTTTGGGTGTTATATTAACCACACTTTGTATGAACTCCATAGTGCATCACTGCCAGCCATTCTTCACATCATCCATCAGCATTGTAATGATTTTCCTTCCTTCGGACAGCCAGTGGTTCCAGTGGTGGCACATCACAGTCAATATTTTCAGTTAAAGTGAGGTTGTTGTAATGAACGAGGACAATTTCTAAATCTCTGTGAGCCAAGAGCTACAGAGTACTATACTGTCTTCATTTTTAGGTCATTTGAATCCAGAAAAGGATTGTGGGAATTTGGTGATTTTTGTCTGAAAAAGTTGTTGTGAAGCAGCGTACACCAGAATTTCTAATGCCCTAGGGTACTTGAAGGCACCAACAAGAAAGTTTCAAAGTAATTAAGTCTCTGTTATGCCCTGGTTTTCTTGTATTAACAGAGAATCTCAGTCTGGAAGGAGGGCCATTGAGTACTGATGGTAAGATCTGGCAAACAGAAGAAAAAGTGGGTCCTTTGAGTCCTAGGTTAATTAATGTTTAAATGCTCTTTGGCCCTCTCGGTTTAACCTAATTGGAGTCAGAAAGCTGAATCTTTTTACAACTGTGATGAGTTTTGGTGTGAGAGTGGTGCTGCCCGTCTGTCAGACCTGTAGTCGGAGATAATTTTCCAGTTTCATGACAGCTCTGTGGATCATTTAATGTGCTCATAAACAACATCTGGATGGCTCACAGGATTTGAGAACTGTTCGGGTATTAATGTGTGTGTGCTGCATTAACAGTGAATATAACAGCTGCTGCACCTGCTCGCCTCATCTGCCTGGGGGTGGAGCTTTAATATCATGGACCATGGTAGATTTAACACATCTGGACCGAGGTCACACAAATCCACAGCTTTGCAGTGTCTGAAAGAGTCCTTCAGTATCTCCTTTCAAGGTGCTTTCCCAAGGTGTTAACTTGACTTAGATGCACTTAGGTCCCTGCTTTCGGTGGTGCATATGGTGAGCCATATTTTGATTGTTAAAATAGCGCAAAGTCTGTTGCTGGATGTGAATCGTGCTGCCAACATGCATCCTCCCAAGGCTGCATGATACAAAGAATAATGACCCAGTAATGAAAATATGGAACCCTAGCACCACTACTGACCGAAACCCCACACTGTAACTTTATTAAAAATGGGGCATTAGAATATATTTGAAAAAATCTGTTTAAAAGCTGTTATTTTTTTTCTATATAAATCTGACGTACATTTATGACACATTTTCAGTATTTGAGTTAAAAACAGCTTTTTGTCTTTCATGCAAATGACTCAAAATCTAGGTTTAAATTTGAGAAAATGAATAACTTCTCTTTCAACTCCGATCCTGTGTTCAATAAGGGCATTTTGAGTTGTGGATAAAAGATATATTTTTAAGGATTTCTGAGAAAACTTGATCGCAGTACATATTGGCCAGCTGGCATCATTTGACACATGTCATTGGACGGCCAACGCAAACACCAGACCAGCAAGTACACTGTTGCCCATAAAATTGGAATAATTTTTGTTTTCAGACACATTCCTCCTTGTATTTCTATTTCTACACATCAGTAATCACTTTGACCAGGTGCAATGATTACATACCGAGTCCCAGCTACTCAGGTGAATTCTGGCTTCGGGATCTGACTGATAAGTGGGACTTCCTGCCCATTGACACAAGCTGGTGGACAGTATGTCACCACGTCTTATGATGTCATTGATCAGAGGTTGCCATACTCAATATTAGTGACTGAGTGACATTTGAAAGAGTGATATTAAACATTCTAATGTATGGAATCCCCTTAAATATGTGTGTCCTGTTAAATTGGCCAAGGCTGAAAAATTGAATCAAAACCCTTCATCCTCTTGTTCAATACCCCCAAATGTTTAAGCCTGAATACACAGTTTGCAAAAGTTAATTGTGGTTACATTTAACTGTGATATGTATCGTATGTGTATGTGATATCAATAAAGGTTTGATAATATATACACTTTATCAATCAAGAGTTAATCACATTGTCACAATCCTTTCATGAGAAGAGGTAAAAATATATATATATGTATTTTAATCCAACTTTATGGACAACAGTGTATTTGAGGCGCAGTAGTCAGGATGTGTCAGTCTTCCAGTGAATATGATTAGTATGACTACATTTACAATGATTTTCACTAGAAAATGTCACATTCAAATATGACTGACTATAATTAAGAAAAGAGAAATCTTGATTTGAGATATCTCCATTTTATTTCTTACAGAAGTTGTGTTGGGTTTTTTTCACCATTTTTTGGTTTCTTGGCCAGAATTGGTTTCCATTCATGGCTAACTGAATTTAAAGTGATGGATCTTGCTGCATGTGGTGAGACTATGAGCCTGCTGTCTATCTGACAGCTGCTCTTTAACTCTGGATTAACTCAGGCTGTTAAGAGCCATGTTACTAACCATTAATCCTGAGCCCACCATGCCACCATAAATACAAACAGCCAGACCCAGTTCATGTCCTACAGCTCCTGCTCTGTTGCTATTTTAGTTGTCAGATCTGTGGTGTTTGCATTGCAAAATAGTTTCAGTGACCATCGGCATGCTCTGCTGAGGCTGGATGAGGTGTGGGTATTGTGCACTGGCCCTGTGACCGTAAGGCTGCAAGGGACAAATCGGTTTCAAGTCTAAGTACAAAGCTGCTGACTGAATACATAAACTTATGAGCCACAACATTTAAAGCATCTGCCTGATATTGTGTAGGTTCCCTTTGCAACAGCTCTGAACTGTCAGTACACAGACCACAGTGGCTGTGGATCCCTTTGGTCCTGTGGGTCGTGGGGCGGGGGGTCTCTACATCTTTTGGCACATACAGTGAATGCTGAAACAGATTGGGATTTGGGGAGTTTAAAGGCCTGTTCAACGCTTTGGGCTCTTGGTTATGTTCCTTGAGCCATTCCTGAGAAGTTTTTACAGACATTGTCCTATCAGGGAGTACCCTGGACTTCAGCTGTCCTCGACTCTCATAGTGGACTTATATCAGGTGAAACTACTATCCATGGTAGGAAGCTTCATCTGTGTGTGAACAAAGATTGTGAGCACATGCTTCCTGACAGTCATTGGTCGTTTGTTACTGAGATATGCTGAGTTAAGGTGGGGGGTAAGCTGAGTGCTTAAAGTCTTTAGCACACAACACCCTTTATCCCCAGGTTTAACTGTGGCAAATGCCATGAGACTGGGTGCAATATCTGATCAATCGCATTGCGACAGACTTACATCATGGTCCCTAGAGAGGAACAGTCTATCTCCAGAAGGTTTGTTTTTTTTTTATTTCTGTTTCTTTATTGTATATCTTCCAATGAATACTACAAGTGCTAGTGTGGCAGTACTGAAGATCTAGCTTGTACACACAACAGCAAAACATTCTGGTGTAGCGTAACCTTAAAGCGAGAACCACTTGGTGTAGGAGCTCATTTTTCATTATTTGCATGTCTTCAGTGTTCCCAGTGGTCTTACTAAGCAGATATTATGATGAAGTGCTTCCTCGATGTTTTGCTGATCTTGGGGCTTTGCAGGAAGTTTGTGGAAATGCCCAGAATCCTCCCTAGAGCTGAAGCCGCTATGGTGTGAAGGTGCAGCTCGAAGTGCGTTTCAGGGCATGGTAAATATTTAATCAGCAGAGAAATTAAGTCAGTGCTGACTAGAAGAAATAGGTCAGCATGAGGAAGCATAGTGAGCAGGGTGCCAAGCAAAACAGAAGGCTTGTTAGTGGTGGCGCTGGGCACGTGCAGAAGAAATGTTTGTGTGATCAATGAGCCTGTCTGAAAAGCTGCTGTAGGAGGCTACTGTTCATCCTCAGGCCGGAAAATCGTTAGGCTAATAAACACAACTTATAATGTCTAATAATGTCCTGAAATCAACGAGACTAACAGTCTGAAGCCATGTTAGCAACGCTGCAAAGCTGTAATGTTCATCACACAGCAGAAAATTAAACCACTGGGTGGACAGAAGCTATAAAGAGAAAGATATTCTTATGGCAGATTAAAACACAAGGGCAAAATCATTAGGATTCATCCTCTGGAGACCATATGTCTTTGCTAAGTTTTATGACAATCCATCTGTTGGTTGTTGAAATATCGGTGAAGGAATCTCTACACAATGTCCCAAAACATACAGGTATAGTTAGAACCTATAGTTGGAGCTTTACAATTTCTCTCAGTCACTTTGGTACATTTCTCAGATCAGAATTGAAATTCTCAAAACTACTTGTTCGATCTTCACGCCATTGTGTCACGTGTGCATATCAGAAAAGCAGTTTCTCATTTCTTTGAACAAGTTCTGAATGCAAGGTGTCTCTGTGGTTAGCACGGTTGCCTCGCAGCAAGAAGGTCGCCAGTTAACACCAGGATCTTTCTGCATGCAGTGTGGGTTCTCTCCAGGTTCTCCGGCTTCCTCCCACAAGGTCCAAGAACATCCATCCATCCATTATCTATACACCGCTTAATCCTCATTAGGGTCGCGCGGGGGCTGGAGCCTATCCCAGCTAACTCAGGGTGAAGGCAGGGGACACCCTGGACAGGTCACCAGTCTATCACAGGGCTACACTTAGAGACAGACAACCAAGCACACTCACATTCACACCTACGGACAATTTAGAATCACCAATTAACCTCAACATGTTTTTTTGACTGTGTGGGAGGAAGCTAGAGAACACGGAGAGAACCCACGCTGCACGGGGAGAACATGCAAACTCCACGCAGAAAGATTCTGGTGACCCCACCGGGGGTCGCGAACCGACAACCTTCTTGCTGCGAGGCGACAGTGCTACCAACTGCACCTTGCAGCCCGTCCAAGAACATGTTGAGGTTAATTGGTGATTCTAAATTGTCCGTAGGTGTGAATGTGAGTGTGCTTGGTTGTCTGTCTCTAAGTGTAGCCCTGTGATAGACTGGTGACCTGTCCAGGGTGTCCCCTGCCTTCACCCTGAGTTAGCTGGGATAGACTCCAGCCCCCCATGACCCTAGTGAGGATTAATCGGTGTATAGATAATGGATGGATGGATGGATGGTTTTGGTTTAAGCATAGAGACATTAAGGAGAACTGTAATTTTCCCCAGTTGATTTTGCTGCTGTGCGTCAGCAGAGCTCCTAGAGCTTGTGTTGCTTCTCTTTTCTGTTTATTCCAGTGTGTTTACCCTCTGCTGCAGCTGCTCCTGTAAGGAAAACAGAAGGTCAAATTTCAGTGTAAGCAGCATCTGACGCTACCACTCAGCAACCTGCGAGCCCTGAGAGGCTGCTGGGAAAATCCCGTTCAGAGGAGGAGGATGAAGTGTGGGCAGAGAGCAGCTTGTAAACGTGAACAGAGCCACTGAGACAAAACGCTCTTAATAATTCAGAGACTCTGCTGCTGCTGCTGCTGCTGAGGACCAGAGAGAACACTGCAGACGCTCAAACACATTAATGACTTAAAATAACTTTGAAACATTCCTTTTCTTCTGTATTCCTGCTCAAACCTACTGGTGTTCTTTAATCTACAACGTTTCATTTTATAGAGTAATTTCCTCCACAGATTGATGAATTGTAGTGCGGATGATGTCATTGAGGACTTAAAATGTTCTTCTGTTACATCTCACTACAAACATTTAGATATATATATATATAGAGTCAGGAGAGCCGTATAGCTGGCCTATATTATTATAAAGAATGGAGGTGAGGGAAAACAGCTTGCCTGGCTTTGCCTAAAGTTCAGAAACCTAGATTACCAACATCCTTGACTCTCATTAACACCTTATTCCACACACAAACAAAAATATGTGACTTTAGAGGGAATACCATGCTAAGGACAGTGTATCCATCTGCTGAAAAGTACCATGCAGCAGCTGTAGATACCATGCATGTTGTCAAGTAGAGCTTCTGAGCACCGGTTTTGGTTTTGATCTCTGTGCAGCTTGTAGTTTTTTTTCCTGTCCTGTGAAAAACTCAGTGTCTTTCCAGATAATCACCACACAGGCTGTAGCTTATTATGACGATACATATATTTCATTGTGACCATAGTGATTATGACAAGGGAGGAGGTAAGGGTTGATCAGCAAAACATTGGACTTGTCAACAGGAGACTGTTTTTCACTTTGTGTTTCACATTGATTGTCAGTTTTACTTTTGACCATTTTGAGGTTCTTATGAATTGTAATATAAAATATCTGCCTTCACGCCCTCTACAGGTCGGTCGTTTCTTTGGCGAGGTGGATGGGTCTGTCATGGCATCGCTGATCAGGATGGAAATGTACAAGAAGTATGTCTGAATCAGACACGTTTTCTGAAAAATTTACTTTTGAAGATGCCATGAAGTTTGAAGAGCCTTTTCTCTCTACAGATGTTTATGAATGTAACCTTAATGTTTGTTTGCAGAGTGTCTTTGTTTGACTACCAGGCGATGTGTAAGAACAGCCATCATCATGCCAGCAGTGCTCGTCCTCTGCTCAGTGTAAGTCTCATTACTGCAGTTTAACACAGTCACTGTTAACAACAGAGCTTCAGCTTTTAGAAAAATTAGTTAAAATCATTTTGGAATCTTTGATTTTTATTTAGGGTTGCAAGGTGGCTTGGTGGTTAGCACAGTTGCCGCACAGCTGGAACATCCCCGGTTCGTGTCCCCCTGAGGATGCCTGGGATCTCTTTCTGTGTGCTGTTTGCATGTTCTCCCCGTGCAGCGTGGGTTCTCTCCGGGTTCTCCAGCTTCCTCCCACAGTCCAAAAAACATCTAAACATCTAAATTGTCCATAGGTGTGAGTGTGCTTGGTTGTCTGTCTCTAAGTGTGGCCCTGTGATAGACTGGTGACCTGTCCAGGGTGTCCCCTGCCTTCACCCTGAGTCAGCTGGGATACGCTCCAGCCCCCCATGACCCTAGTGAGGATTAATCAGTGTATAGATAATGGATGGGAGATTTTTATTTAAATTCTATTACTTTATATGCCAAAAGTAAAAAGTTACTTGATCAGGGCTTTTGGATTTTGTAAATTTTGCCAAAATCTATTGGCTCTATGCTGTTAACAAACAAACACAGTCGTTTTTCTCACATCATGGAGAAATAATTTAGGGTTGAATCTTTTTTTTTTTTGATAATACGCATATTTAGAAACTAAAAACACACCAAATCCTACCAAAAGTATCTAATTCTTGTTTTCCTTTTTCCTCCTACAGCCATTCTATGGCATTGTGGCTCTGATAAGATGGTTCTTCTCCAATGCACTCATGTAAGTATTAACCAAGGATTTTTATTCGGTTAGTAGTTGAATACTCAGACCTATTTAATTAAAAGTCATAGTCCTGACAGTGAAGAGAGACTACATTTATAATTGGCACCATGAATATCTGTGGATGTACCAAGATAGTGGCTGACAAAATGACACCCAGCCTGCAAAGGATTGGCAGAAATATTCCAGCACGATAGTGAAGGCACACTGCCAAAACCACGAGTTTCCAAAGAGGAAGAAAAGGAAAACGATGACCTGACCAAGTATGTTGTAGAGCAACAGAACCCCTCCAGAAAAGAGCAACTGAAAAAAATGGTCTCTGAAGAATAACAAAACATCTCTCCACAAATGTGGTATCCTTCATAACAAGGAGGACTGATTTATAGGATAATTTAGTATCTAGTGAAGCATAGGCTCATCATATAGATTGTATGTAAAATATTCATCTGCCCTATAGCTTGTAAAAAAAAATGCTTCAAAGAGATGTAGCGGACTAGAACATACAATATTTACTTATTGTATAGAATAGTACAGAAGTATAAGGTAAAAATAGAAGTCAACTACAAACACTTTAGATCTGTACTTTGTAAGCATACTTTCTGTTTCTCAAAGATACAAAGAGGTAAAAAGGAACCTTTCTCTCCTACAGTTAATAACGATTACAATGGATTTGAATCAGTCACTGGTCATGTTGGTTTTTATCATATTACATTAACGTTTCCTAATTGTTTCCTGTTTGAAACAGCAGTTGAACCAGCAAACACTGAATAAAAAGTCTGTTGTTGTGTGTTACATGCTCTTTTTGTCACAAGATAAGATAAGATAAGATAAGATAAGATAAGATAAGATAAGATTATGTGAACTTAATTGGATAAAGTTGAGAGATGAAAGAAGCAAGATTTACAAAAGTACAATAAGGCTAAAAATAAAGATGTAACAGATGTATAATAAAGACAAAGTACAAGGCATGACGAATGTACATATGGATATGTACAATTACAACACGATGGATAATTGAAGGACACACATGATGTGTAGAATCGTACTTTTATGGTAGAATAGTACATTTCTGTTACTGCAGTCAAAAGGTTATCAAGAGAAAAGACCAGTGTTCACATGATGTTACTGAACATAAAGAACTGTATGAGAACAGGGTTAAACTTTGTTGTTGATCTACAAGAGCTTTAAACCTGAATTATGACTTGCACTGGAGTTTCAATTCCAGTTTGAAATAAATGCAGTTTAATTATGACTAGTTCTCGTTCAACATATCGTTAATTTCCCTCCATTCAGGTATCTAGATTGTCCTTATTAGATACCTTAAACATGACAATGTCACGTTAATGATGCAAGTATTTTGAACTAACTTAAAATGATGCTGTTGCAAACTGGAGGAGCGACAGGATCAAATGTTGTTGAAAAAAGAAGTGTTACATGATGAAGATTGTTCCACATAAAGGGCTGTGAAGAGTGAAACAGTGTTACAATATGTTATTGCTCTTAAAAAGGTTATGATGAAAGTTTTCTTGAACAAGAGGTTTGTGTCTCCTGTCAGGTTCCTGCTGGACTTTAACTTCTGTGGTCTCTGGCACTCTGATTATTTTGTGGACGGTAAGATGTCACGATGCTCATCAGGCTGAGGTCTGCTCTGCCTCTGCGGTGGTTTACTGCAAAATCACATTAAGGTCAAATCACACAGTCAGTCTGTGTGTGCTTGTTGAGCTATTAGTTATCCACTTCCTGAATCTCATGATCCAATTACTTTTGAACAAGTATGTTGTTGAGATATTTCATATTGCCTATTAAATGGCAAGTCGTTTTAACATTTGACAGCAAGACTGTTATATATTGGACATTTCAATAATTCAGTTGTTTCTAGTCAAAAAGAACATTTTAGATTTCCACATCATCCAGGACAAATGAAGTCACTTCTACCATTCATTTGTATAGGGTTTTTCATTACAGATATACAGATATATTTGCAGATATCTACAATTTGAGTATCTGCAGCTGAATTACAACTAGTTGTAACTCAAGCCTGACATATCTGTAGTTTGATTTTTGATGAGTCATTATTCTAGTTCAGTATGTCTTTAATTTCTCTCAATTTAGGATGACCAAGTAGAGCTAAAGAGCTAAATCTAAATGTGTTCATCTGGTTTTTATTTGTTGGTCAATTTATGTACATAACATAAACTTTAAATGATCTATAAAATCACCACCATCTTTGTAAAATGTACAGTCAGGTCTGTAAATATTTGGACATTGATACTATTTTCAGCTTTTCAGCTCTGTACACCACCACAATGGAGGAGGTGGTGTACAGAGCTGAAATGCTGAAATTTGTGTTAATGTCCAAATATTTATGGGCCTGACCAGACCTTTGAATTGATCCTTAAATTGGAATGTGAGGGCTTTAAAGGCATAATTTTGAAAGCATGTGAACAGCTGAACTGCTGCCATTGTCACTGCGTCCTTCATTCAAATATGACTCCTTTGTCATTAACAATGTCAGTTCTCCAGGGCCTGAGCACAGAACACAGATGATGACTGACTTTCAAACATTCACTAAACAACAGCATATCAGAATAAAGAGATGGAAAACCAAAGATAGATGAAAAACATTAGAAAAGTTATTTCTATCAGAGAGGCTGTGAGCAGACAAACATGCATGTTTGTTGTTGTTGTTGTTGTTGTTGTTTTTATCATTCACAATATAACTCCTTTATGTCTCATTTACAACTGCCACATGCCAATCATCCTCATCTTCCATCATCCACCCTCACCATCATCACCTTGGTGTTTTCTCTGTGCTCATCTTCATCCGTCCAGCTAAAGCTGGCTATCACACATGTGAGTAAAACATTTCTGCATATGTGTGTGTGTGTGTGTGGGGTTGTATTTCTAAAGAGCAAATGTCCTCAGAACACTGTGTAACACTGGGATGAACACTAAAATGAACATTAAAGAAAGAATCACGTGTAGAAATGTTGCTTAATATCTGTGTGTGTGTGTGTGTGTGTTTCTCAGCTCATAAGCAGAAGAAGGTGGAGGCGCTACAACCTTGCGACACAGCGTACCCTGGCTTCATGTACGACCCGTCTATCAGAGAGGCCAACAGCATCATCAAGTGTGGACGCTGCCAAAAGTATGACACACACACACACACGCACACATTTTCTAACTTCTAACTTACACAGACTTCTGTATTCAGATTATGTTTTGCTCTCTTGAAACCCGATTTGTGGGCATACATGTTAGTCAGGGATTAATCTGGAATAATTGGTTAAAAACCTCTTCATACACACTGTCAAGTATTATTCATCCTACTGACCTTATGCAGCCTGACCCTCGTTTCATTTTTGTCATGTTCACTTTTGTCTCTCTCACCGTGTGGTAGCTTTTGCTGGCTGTGGTAAACACAAATAAAAGCAGTTTGTGATCGGTACTAAAAGTTGCCAGCACATGCTCACGTTTTTGAGGAGACATATGTCCTGACGAACCTACATCCACCCCAGATAAAAGATTTAAAAGGCAAACTTTGATGCAAAGTCAGATTTGGCATTAACTAGCCCACAGCAAACTCAGATTTCAGCATTTCAGGTTCAAAGTCCTGGAAAACAACATTTTTTTAGTCTGTTCTGCCAACACATGAAGAAAGTGAATTTCACTACGTAAGGAGGCAGTCTACATAGAGTGACTTTAAGATGAAGCATTTTGGAGATGAAACCTATAATCACCACATGGCTTGAAGGAGGAGTTTGACATTTTTTTCTTATAAATTTAAATGTATACACTCAGGACTTGGTGCAAAATTGTAATTGTAAAACTGCAATAAAATTAGTTTCACTTGTTTGTTTATGGATGGTTTGTTTTGTTTTGACACGATCACTTGATGGCGCTACACTGTAAAGTGAAGGAACGCAGTCGTACTGAGAGTTGCACTACACCACTAAGTGACATTAATGCATCTATGAGGAGTGTAATTCCTGACCTCTTTCAATGTCACAAAGGTCTTCTTTAACCTGCTAGATCACCATGGTAACTTATCTTGGACAGCTAACTTGCTCCTAAGGAGTTTCTGTTCAGAGTTTCTCTCTGGCACAGTGCTAGATTGGTTTGCTTCTTACCTGAAGGACAGGGACTACTTTGTGTCAATAGGCAACATTAAATCTGAGCAGAAGAAAATAACATGTGGAGTTCCCCAAGGTTCCATCCTGGGACTTCTTTTGTTTAACATCTACATGCTTCCACTGGCTCATATTATAAGAAACAACAAAATAAATTACCATAGTTATGCTGATGACACATTGCTGTATATCTCAATGTCACCAGGTGACCACGCTCCCATACAGGCCCTGAGTAAATGTATGGAGCAAGTCAATGAATGGATGTATCTAAATGGGTTTATTACCTGCAAATTAGCTTGATAGTTCTTTTGACAGTCAGTTAATAGTTTACTGTGAATCTTTACAGGTGATTGTGATAATTGTAAATTTGGCAATTGAGCAAAAGTTAAACTAATAGTGAAATGACCGAGTGCTAAAAAGTGACTGACTGTAACCTTTTTTGCGTTTCAGGATGTTTGTGGTGCAGCAGATTCCTGACAGTAACTTGGTTCTGGTTGTGACTCAGGCTGACTGTGACTGCTCTCGTCAGTATGGATCCATCCTGCTGGAACCCAAAGAGATCAAATATATCCTTCCCTTGTCGAACAACAGCAACACTGACCCCTGCTGGATGTAGACAGGCAGTCTGTCTGCAGGGACAACACCACGTGGTTCACTTTGGAAAATTCCATTTGTGCTGATACTTTATGTTCTTTAGCTGCTTTTCAGTTCACACAGAGGTCAGCAGTGCATTTAAATGCTCCTCACTGCATCGCAATGTGCTCATGTAACTCCACAGATAGTTATAAAGGAAGTTAAGAGCGTCTGTTGCTGAGAAATATTTGTGTGTTCACAGTCAAAGTGCTGGGTTTTAGATTTACACTCAAGTTTGGAGAACAACAGATTAAATGGCACTGTGTTACATGATTAGGATACAAAAAAAAAAAAAAAGGTAATGGCCTCCTGAATTTACACAGTGTCTAATCAGATTACCTTTTCATATTTTTAAAAACATTTTTTTTTTAGTAAGATTACAATTTCAAAATGCATTTTTAAATAGACTACAGACCGCACAAATAGCACCAGTATTGGTCCATGAACATGAACACATGCCTTTGGATGTTGGAGGTACACTGAAAATTATGAGCTTTGCCTCATTTATTTAGCTCTGTGTGTTCAAATCTATTACAGATTGAAATGTCTGTAAAAATACAAGTTAACAACAATGAGGACTACAGCTCAGATTAACGAGACTCCTCAATAATGAATGTAATCTGGGTTTTTCTTCCACGTTTTTCTCTCCTTGCAGAAGCAGTATTACAATTTTTTTTAAAAAGCCTCATTTATTAGTAGTGAGCATTCTGTCCTCCTTAACATCTGTGAACATAATGCCACAGTAAAGTGCAACAGGATGAAATCTCAGAAGGTGCGGCGGCGTCCGGAGTCCTGCCACGCCTACCACCCAAAGGTCAGTCCAGCCCCCTCAACACTGTGAACACATTACAGAGTGAACTGTTCACAACACAAAATAAAAACACACTGTTACACTGTGAGATGAATGAAAAAACTCATTCTAGGCTGCATGAGTAAATTAAGTAGTCAACACTATAGCTGATCATTTCCACCTCGAAACTGCAGTGCACTGATGACAGTCTTCAAAACATTCAGACTTCCAGGGTTTCATTCATAACAAATTTAAGACACCAATTCTGTCAGCTAGCAGAGTGGGACTTTCTGCATCATTATTCTTTTCAGAATCACTCTCTGTTTTGAGCATGTATGGATGAATTACTTCAATATTACAACTTTCTGCTACGGAGTCTGTCTGGTGACATCGATAAGAAATAAAAATAACTCGTTCCCATGCATTTGTAAATCGTGGCCATGAGTTATTAATGCGTGGGAATGACATAATTTTCACACGGTGTTTCATCGCAAGAGATCGCAGGATATCGGTGTAGTTCATTCCAAGGTTAAAATCAAATCAAATCAAACCAAAATGCTCCATGTTTCATGCAAGTCCGCCCGTTATCCTTAATCGACAGCTGGTCTGACCGCACTGTGAAATTTGCTCCACAACTTCTTGTTTCTTCAGATTAGTAATGCGAGGCCACGACTTAACTA